TTGGCAATTGAAAGACTGGTAGCTTGTGGCAACAATACATTTAATGCGCGCTTGACGGTTATATCCTTTTTTCGGCTCCGGTGGCAGTGTTTGCCTGCTCATTCTGGCAGGCCAATCCTCCTCGATTCCAACATCAAATCTGTCTCAGTCTCAGACAGGTGGCAGTGGCAGGGGACTTCGTTTGGGCTGCCATGTGTTGTGTGAACATTGGTTGTGAAAAAGGACATTATGAACTTATCTCTAAGTCTCTAAGTAAGATATTCGACGCCAACTTTGGTGGAAACCCCTGCCTTGGTACATGCCTGGCAAAATGACAATGCTCTCCCAACACCAGCCAGGGGACTTTAAGTCATTGTGTGATTTTGATTCATAGTACATAGATGATGATAAAACATGAAAATTAGGTATCAGTTGAGCATGGTTTCGGTGTCCAGCTGGTCATGGCACTGTCAAAAGGCAACCGTCAAGATCCTTCAGGACGTCGAGGCGTCAAAGGCTAAAGAAAAACACACACAATAAGATGGGTTCATCTCTAGCACTTATGTGGTTGAAGCATGGAGCAATTGGCCATTGTTGACTGCCTCACACGCACTGCTGGCTTAAATCAGTTTCACAATTCCTTCACCAACATCCAAGAGACCAGAAATGCAAGCGATCGGTCGGATAGGGATCAAGTTCTTGTCAGATCCCTGTGATTGCAGCCTAAGGTGATATGGCACGAACAGTCTTGTTCCACATAGGCCCTGGAATAGTATAGTGAATCATATTTACTGGACATGCCAAGTAACCGGCATCGCCATCCGATGATGAACTTGGTGGCGGATTTCATTTTCATCACATCCATGCGGGCTCCAAAGTTCTTGCACGTAGGGCCACTCTCCTTCTTGTCCTTCTTGCGTTTTTTCTTCTCAGGCTTGATGTCATCAAGAAGGAAGACAAGTTTCTTCTCGGAGGAGATTGAGCCATTGTCCGCGACGCGATGGTGTGAGATGCCAATCTTCACCTTAAACTTGTTGGAATGAAATCTCAATCTCTATAATATAGTAGTCAATACGGAATCGCTTTGGAAGATATTGGACGGTTTCTATCAAAAAGGTGGGCCACAATAGAACCCCTTCTCACAGATCCCGGATGCCTCGCCGCTGTCCTCCATTTCAGCCAAAAGGGAGCTCACAGCCACTGGGGATTCAATGCTTGGCAGCTGCTGCAAGTGCTCAGGAAGCCCTTGCTTCTCTAAGCAAAGCAGAGTCTCTGTGGAAACCACAAAGGGGTACCACCGGCCAGAAGTGTCCTGCATGACCTCGTCTGCTTCCTTAGAGATGTGAGGTGCTTGAGGAGCCCAACCACCATGAACATCCGAAGTCCCGATATCAAAACCTTGAAGTCCGCATATCAAAACATTGCGCAAGCTTCTTGACCCCAAAACAAAAACATATTGACAATGATCAGGACTGAGACACAGAGGCTTCACGCCACTCACCTGATCCAAAGGAAAACCTTGGTATATGGAATCAAGGAATGCATCAAAAATCATCAAAAGAACCGGGGATGAAAGATAATGATAATGAGAACATGTGTGTGTTGCTCCATGGGGTAGTTGGATTAGAAAGAAACTTGTATTCTGAACGCTGGCCTAGGAGCAGCTCGCGATGTTGGTTGAAGGTGTTCTTCCCTCGGGAAATCAAGTACAGTAGCTCACCAGTGCCATCCGTCAGGAGCTCTGCAGCATTGTTGATGGACAACTTATGCCTGGGACATGTTAAGCAGAATGGCTTTAAGAAAGAACTGAAGGTTCACATTGCTCGGAGCTTTGTTTTCCATGTTTTCCTACCTTGTGATTTGGGAAGGGGGGCAAAGTTGAGATGAGTTACGGATGCTGCAAGCTTGACACATCAGACTCCTTGAACATGTCTGTGGGCTCAATCTTGATCTTCTTTGTAGGAGGCTCTGGCGCAGACTCGCCTGACCTGCACGCTGGAGAGAGCACGAGGCTGGCGATGGGGGAGCGACAACAACTCGGATACAAACCACGCCAAATTTTCAGATCCACATCATACCTAGCCTCGTCTCTTGGGCCCAGTACTCTCCACCAGTGTTGTACTTCTCATTGTGGTTGGTGATGGCCTGTTCACACTTATCCTTCGTGATTTCGCTGTTCACAAACTTGGATGCGAAGCTCTCCAAAATCACCAACCGGTCTTGGGCTTGAACACAAACATTGTATTGGCGGCTCACTGATGCAGAGTCACCCTGCTTCAGGGCTTGCAACAGAGGTTGAAAGTCAGGGAACTGGGGCAAACTCAAAGCTTTGGACCGGCATTTGTCATAGAGGGTGTTTGCAACTCGCTGGGTGATTTGATCGGATGCATCCAACACCACGGTCCCGCAAAGCATGCGTTTGCCATCGGAGACCTCCTGTCAGATTCTATTGAATTTCATTGAAGCATTCAACAGCTTGAAGAACACAATATCCATAGATGTCAAACATTCTGAACAGGTCTAATGTGAACTGAGTGTGCGGGTCAAAACAGTCTGAACTCTGCAAGAACTAGATTCAGGCAAACGTGTCCTCCAAAGCAGCCAAAGCTGGAAATGCATCATATCCATGTAGATCCAGAAGCACAATCGTGGAAACCGTTGAAGGCATGAAGCTCTCCAGCGATCGATGGATCATGCTGGTTCCTGCCGCAACCTCAGGTGCAAACAAGAGAAGGCAATGGATGGATCTTGGCAAGCCCCGCCAACCAAACTATTTCACAAGGTTATCCCAGTGCAAACGGTGGTTTATAGACTCCCCTGACTATCTATTTAGCAACCCTTCGCGTGGCGCTGGTCAATACATGATGGTTTGGTGTGGTTTGGTTGTCTTCTTCAGTCCAAAGACTTGTTTGAGCTCTTGGATGTCTGTGAATGCTCGGCCGAGATGAGGTAGGGCAGTTCCAGCCTTGGTGGGCCCAGGAGGAGCGGGCACACTCCTATCCGGACAGGTGCTGAATACTAGCAGCTAGCAAGCTCATAGAATACTAGAAGCTAGCCATATTCAAAAACAATGACATATAATAAAGCATCACTGTGAACAATAACATTAGCCCAGATGCTGCGGGTTTGTACATTTGGCTTCGTGGGAGCATTTGTACACCATGCACAGTGCCCTGCTTCCACCCCTTCGTTGACTTAAAGATGCTTGTGCGGTCTTTGTGTGTGACAGCAACTCCAGAGATACACCCATCTCTCTTTCCGTAGACGCTGTCCTTTGTGGTGACATGAAATCTAAAAGAAAAGCCTTTGGGGAAAATAGGGAAGCATAATCCGACAAAATCAAACAACTTAAAGTTGTAAGATCAAAGCTTGAAGCATCTTAGAGATTAACTCGGCCAAAAACCACGTTGTTTCTGGAGACAAGCCTCTGGAGCAAAGATCCATGTGACACTCCGCACGCTGAGGTTTCGGTCTTTCTGCGCCAGATCTGTCCTTGATTTGCAAAGTACTTGAATGTGTCAACATGCACCCCCTGGGATCCGCAATTAACATGGCAAACCGTGCAAAGTACAGTGCAAACCCGATCAATATTATTGTTTTCAGAAGAGTGTCTCAAGACGGTACCTCACATCTCGGACATCGGCATCTTCAGCAGCATCCTCAGCAGGGTTGCTCTCAGCATCAGTCGCAGCACCCTCCTCGGATTTTGTTTCCCTCTTGACATCCTCATCATCGGAGCCCTCCGTCTTCTCAACCTTTTCAGCCCTTGGAGAGAGGATTTGGAGAGAGCTGATGCTGACTGATGCTGTTGCAGTCAATGAAAGACTCTTCTTGAGCAGGGTGTTTCCCTAGCCATTCAACAGGGGCCAAAGATATTCCGTACGATTCTAAAGGGGGTTGAAAGGGTGTTTTTTCCAGGATTAAAAGGGAGGGGATCTATCAAATCCAACACTTAAACAATTGCCCAGAATGGGTGGACATGAGTTTTCCAAAGCTAGCCACCCTGTCCATCATGGATGCATCAAGACAGCCAATTGCATCCCAGAGTCTTGGTTCCACTGCCCCCAAACTGCCCTGCTCGGTTGGCATGGAAAATGAGAACAAGGCCATTCCGGCGATGCTGTGCAAGAAAGTTGGCGATGAAGGTCAGGAAGAAGCTGTGCTTGGCAGCACTGACAATGCCACAGGTCGGAAGGCAGAGCCAGGCCACAATGCTGTGATCATCTGCAGACCGGCATTCCGGGATATCCCCAAGAGACTCCTGCACCCATGTTGTGATCTGTGGAATCACAACCGATTCAGCCTGCTCTGTTTTGGCCCAGAAAACGTGCAAGTTGGAGTCCAGGTAGGAAGTGACCACGCTCCATGCCTTTTCATGGCACTCCTGCAAATACCAATCAGGGGAGGGTGCAGAGGGAGGGTTTCTCGGAACAGTGCAAAAAGATGCAACAAGAACAATCAAAAGCAAGCAGTCCACACAAGAACAATCAAAAGCAAGCCTCCAGCTTTCGGACCAATGATGATCGCTTCTTTGTGTTCTCACGCTCACACCTTGGATGCAGGACGATCAGACTACGAGCTGGACGTTCAATCCACTTTGCAGGATGCTGAGAAAACATCACACACAACATCAGAATCAACAGAAACATAATATAGGAAGACAAAAGGTATTCAATTCTTGATGCCGGTCTACAAGATCTTGTCGCTATCAAACGTCATTTGATCAGTTGCTAGTTGTTCCTCCCAAGCATTGTAGGCAGCAACCATGGAGCTGTGCAAAGCATTTTTTGTTCGGTCTTGTGCTTGCGCGATGAACTTCTCCACGGAATCCCCACGGATCTGCAGGGGTGCAAAATGGGAAGACGTTGAATCATATGATCTTTATTTCTGATTTTCTCTGAGTTGTTTGCGCAGTGATGTTGCAATGAATTTGCTGAGGTGCCTCCAACACGAAGTTGATCCGCTGCCAATTGAAGCCATCTTCTGCAGCCTTCAGCACGGAGCTCAGGTCTGTGTCCAAAAGCCTTGGATAGATTTCAGGAAGGCACCAAGAAGACTCCAAGAGACAATCTATAATCAGTCTGTTAAAAAACACCGGATTGCGATTGATTTTATTGATAGTTTTTATAATTTTGATGTTTTTTTAGTTTTTTTTAATGTTATAAACTCAATCACAATTCAATGCTTATTTTTTGTCTTCAAGTTTGATTGGTTCCTGAAATTGCGAATCACAATCCAAAGGTATTGGCAGGCGCCAAATCATATCTGATTCGTGTTTCCCAACTTGCAGCGGATGACTCCCCCACTGGTATTTTGTTCAGATTGTGATCGGCTTTTCCAGGTCCCAATCACAATTCTATGTTGGGGGACCTGACTTGGGGGTGATGTGTTTTTATGTGTTTTTTTTTAAAAAATTTTTATTTTTTTAGAATTCTATAAAAATTTTAATATATATTATCGATAGTATTATCGATTTGGCGCCAGCCAACCCGACTTCATCAAATGTGACGGGGTTTTCTGGGTACCAATCACAATTTGGCAAATGGATTTGGCGCCAGCCAAGTCCAATTTCGATTTGGCGCTAGCCAACCAATCACAATCCGGAATTCCAATTTGGCGCCAGCCAAATGACTTACCTGTTCCAAGCAACCCCTTCATGAACAACTCGCGGTGTTTGTCCACAATCTCTCCGCTGAAGGAATGGGTCAGCTTGGGTTCCAGCCACAGCCAAAGAAGACATACATCATGAAGAAGTAGATGTTGTGATTCATCGAGCATAGCCACTTTCTGGCAAAGGAGGTATGTGTTTTTCTTGTTCGATTGAGATTGGATAACACTCCGCAAAGGCTGGACAAAACCATACAGAACCTGCCTGCCTTAGCCTTGTTGGTGGCTTCTTTGGAGACCTTGCGGCTGAAGTCCTGAGATTGTCTTAGCTGGTGAGGTTCAGTTCGGGCTTACTGCCATTCATTGCAAGTCAAACCACCAATCCAAATTGAAGCCCAGTCTCTTTGGTTGCACGAAGGGCGTACAGCATGCATGATTCTTCAGAGGTTCGAAGCACCTCTTTCCAGCAATCTTTCCCAGCAAACTGGGGTTGCTCAGATCTTGCCAAAGACCCAGGGACCCAAAAGTCATTTGCCAAGACGTCCAGCGTGATTCCTGGTCAAGTCATGGTAGAAGTCATAGTAGAACAACCACAATTGCCCAGTGTTTAACAAACGCTTGGCCTGATGATTCATGTTTGTAATCATCATAGTGGGACGCAATGAGATTGTGGAAGCTTTCTGGCGCTCTCAGCCTGACACAAGTACATAGCTGGCATAAAAGGTCTGGAGTCTATAGGTACATGGTTCGGCCAAGAAACATGTTGTATATTAGCTGTTTTTTCGTCCCGTCAATGCGGTGTTTCTTGATGGTCACGAGCCGATTGTACTCGGCGATGGTTTTGGCTAGCAAGTCCTTCAACGCTGTTCTGCCGCCATTCTTCGAAGCTATGCGGCGTTCTGTGTCCACCGCAGCTTTCATCGAACTAAGGAAGTCGATGGCCGAAGGCATTTGTTTCTCTGCCGTCGTGTGGCCCAGTTCTCAGCAGCAATGGGTTGGGCTAGTGGACATAGAACTTTCATGGTTGATGATCTGATCAAATCATACACTATTTAAATATCAAACCGGGCTTCTGAGGGCGTGGAGGTAGTAGTGGGTCGGCGATTCGAAGTACGTGAAAGCACAGCGCACCCAATGGTATGAAGCTAGCACTTTGCCAAGTCCAGAGTCTTCAATTTCTTCTTCTGTCAGTTCCTGGGATTGATGCATTGCTGAAACCCACTCTGTGGCAGTCCATCCACACACTAGTTCCAAGCCAAGCTGCCAGCCGATGAACGATCGTGATCACCCCCAGCATGCATAAGATCTTCAGGAACCCGTCGACGATTCCCACGGTGAATTGGTCCACTGCCCTTGTCGGTCCAGATCGAGGGAATTTAACCTCAACAGCTTCTGCGCCCACTCTGTAGCCCCGAAGGAACTCAGGGAAGTGCAGCGCAAACTGACTGTTGGAGGGCCAGACTGCAGGGTTACACTTTCATCACTGTGTACAACCAACCACTTGAAACACATTGACTTGAGGTAAATTGATTTTTGGCAACCCCCCACAGCCACTCTTGCTGGTCTTGGAATAGTCAAAGGCATAGATGGGCAACCAGAACTCAGAGATGCTTTGTTGTGGCACCAGTGTTAAGGTAGGTCGATCATCAGCTCTTGAAGATCGGGCTACAACAAGTTGATTGATCACCTGCCATCATCAATTGATAATATACTATGTTACAATCCTTTAACGTGCAAGTCAAGTGATACTACAGGCCTGGCGCAGCCTTTCCGGGTCTGGGAAGCTAGTGAAGATGTGCTCGCCCAAGTTCTGCTTTGACACCACCTGTAGGCAAGGCAATGAATCAGGAACAAGGCAATTGCCGGATAGTAAATTAAATTATAAACAAGGAATGCTGCAGAGGATGCCTGCTCAAAGTAGGCAGTGACTTTCTCGATGGTAGGATGCTGCGGTGTGTCTTCAACGGCCATGATCTCTGTAAGTGGATTCTACACCCACTCACCCACCCACAGCTGTGACCAAAAAAGGATGCATATTGTATACGATTGAGATAGCTGCCGCGAAGCTGTCATACGACATGTAAACTCAATGCAACTAATGCAACTATTGAACATGAGCATGCTTAGGTTTTTCCACCCCTGAGCAAGCGGTTGAGTCACATCCACAAAGGTCACCTAATGGTGGAAAACAACCTGGAGCTGCCGTGGTCGTGGCGGCAAAGGCGGGTCAGCTAGTTCCCAAGCCACAAGTCGATTGGCTGCCGTTGGTCCAGCCGCTATGAACTCAAGCCGTGAAAAAGGCTTTCGATCCCTCGATTCATTTAGGAGGGATCGATAGAATGAAACACTCCTTGAAAGGTGAGGAAAATCCACTTCCAAGGCAGCAGCCAGTTTTTCCAAGTCTGAAGACCTTTCAGGGTCCAACTTCTGTACAACAATGTCATTGCACGTGTTGACCCTGTTGAAGAAGGCTTCCGAAGCAGGCGCCAGCGATTCTGGCCAAACAAGTAGAGGTCGCTGGCTCAAAGACGAGTCACTCATTTGCATTTTGACCAGAGCAAATATGTCTCTTGTGTTTCCTGCTTGCCGAAGGCGTCGAGGAACATGTTCATCAGCTTGAACTTGTCCAGGCAGAGCTGCACACGCAGTGTGGGCACAAAGGGTGCTGGGAAAGAGGTTTGAACATTCAAACGCAAGACTGGATTCCCTTGCCTTCCCGTCTCATGAAGGTGAAGCTTTGGGGGACCTTGAAATCAGGACTTTCACCATCGTCTTCAAGATCTTCCCCTCTTTTAGTAGGGCGGTCACGGTATGCTCCCTTGAGCGTGGCTGCATGGGGCATAAGCCGGTGCCAGTTCCTCACCTAGGAAAGCTAACACGCCGTGTGATGCAATGTAAAATGTGCTGCAAAACCAAGCCATGGAAAGTTTAAGATGAGTCACCGTGTCCACCATCTCACATTTAAATTCCATACCATGTTTGGCGAACACTGGCCCCAAGCGTCGTTCCAAGGTCCTGCAAATCACTGTAGCCACGCAGTAAGTGTTTGTAGAACATTGTCTCATTGCTGGGTCCTGATGACATCTCTGGGAGTCTGCAAGTTCTGTTCTGCTCCAAGGGCCGAGGTCACCAGCGCCAGCACTCCATCTGGCAAGGATTAGTTGTCGCACAAGGATTAGCATTGTCGCAAGAAAAAGTTAGCCGGAAGCACCCACATCTTCGTGGGTGTGTCCCACCACCAAATGGTGGTGGGACACACCCACGAAGTATCCAGCGCTTGTGAGTAAAGAGCAGAGCTTGCCCGTGAAGCTGTTCCGAAGCTCTTTGACCGTATTATCCCCCTGGAGCCACAGCCTGAAGTGGTAGAGTCATGCTGAAAAGAAGGTCGTGGGCAAGGACTCTGACTGAGGCTGCAACTCAGCTGGGAATGTTTGCGCCCGCTTGTTTGCCACCTTAAAGGCACTGTCCACACTCATCATGGCCTCAGATTAAAAGGAAGGAGAAGGAGCAGAATCAGAAGTTCATGGACAAAAGGTGCAAGTAAGTCAAAAAAACTTGATGCACCCAAACCACGCAGTCCAAGACCCAATTCGCTCCTGTGGACATGCCTTCTTCAGATAAATACAAATACACTCCAAAACCATGGACGATCGTGGCGGTCAGATTGAGAAATGTACCTGATACGCATCGTCAAGTTATCTGCAAAAATTAAATTAGCTCGCAATTCCAGATTGCTTCATCATGGGTGCAGGCAGGCTACGCTGGACGGTCTCATATATGACCTTTTTTGGCAACCGAGACTTTGGCCACTTTGGTAAACAAATCTTTCCTTTGTCGTATCCGTCGATGATCAAACAGCAGAGGTCCTTGTAGGACGCTGCACGCTGACGCGCCATCCAATAGGTCTGGCGGTCTCTCCATTGCACTGTGTAGTGCGAGAGGAGCATGTCCGACCACTTGATGACCTGCTGGAAGTCCTTGGATGGATCCAAACATGTTTGGCAATTAACCGTTACTGTACTACATGACAATGACATATTTTAGGATGCTGTTTGAGAGAAGCTTCCGTGGATTGCCGAATCAAGGAATTGAGTTTGGCGCATTGCCAGCACTGAGAATGAACCGTCTTCTTGTGGAACTTCAGGCAGCTGTCCCAAGCTCGCACAGTGCTATAGAACAAACTCTTCCCTGCAGGCTCCTCCCCCATCATCCGGCAGTACGCCGTGTACATCATGTAGACGTTCCAGTAACATCCGTGAGGCAGTTCACGCATGGGTAGTTGTTTTGGGTCATGCCCAAAGCACAACTGAGCAGTCGGCCCCATGAGACGGGAGTCCACGAGCTTGTTCAGAAGATCCTCGCGCAGCTGCTGGTCGGATTTCTCCAAAAGAGACTTTGGAGCTATCCTTATTTGATCAAACAGACGATTGCTTTCAATCACTCAATGAGGAAAGCTTCACAGCTATCGTTGTTCAAGCTTCGAAGTCGTCATGCTCTCACCTGCTGACCAGTACAAGTGCATCATGAAACTGTTGATGGCCGATGTCTTGATAGCAGGTTTGGTGGCTGGTCCTCAGGCCGGCAGGAACTTATGTAGTCAAGTCGCCAGGACAGACAAGTCACAACATACAAACCAATCAGCTACCAAGTATCCACCAGGTCCGGTGACTGTCCTTTTGTCAACTCCTTGGTGTGTTCTTTTGCATCTTGCCACCCGCGCCTTTCCGATACCCAAGTACCGCAAGAAGGCATCTTTGCAGACATGATGACCTGGTGCATTGTTAAAAACAACAAGCGGCCTTGTTCACCTCATGGAAAGTAAATTTGCAAAGTGAAATAACATGCAATAATAGACTGTCCTTCAAGGTGCCAGTTGTTTCTTCTTCCAGTAGCTTCTGCTTGGATTGACCAAAGGATGCTATCTTGCGCCGCTTTGCTCAAATTCCAAAAGGTCCTGTTGATGCGGATCAGTGCAGGCACTGGAACTCTGCACTGGCATTCACATGGGCCATCTCGGAGGACGGCCTTCAACCTGTTGGCAATGTCCTTGTCGCTGGTTTTGTCTATTTCAGTGGCGACAGCATGGAGTGATTCCATCCGGGTCACTGACAGTGATATAGTTCCAGTGCCGCCCTTATGATCACTGTCGCTCTCATCATCACTAGATGAACTTCCAGGCCCTGATTGAGAAGACCTTGTAGCCACAAGTTTGCTGAATGTGGAAACCCACCCACAACTCACACAATTCACAAGACAAATCACAAAGTTCATAACAACAGTATCAAGTCAAGTTGCTCTGAACTTGCGCTGTATCGCTGCAATCCCCCCGCTACCTCCCCCTCAGAGCTATCATCTGAATCCCATCTCTGTAGCGGCATTGCAGCACGGTCAAATGCTGTCGTGCAAAAAGTAACAAATCTGAAACAAAGCTGGTACCAAATTTGGGTCTGTAACAGGTCTGTGACATCCTGTTGAAATGCATGCATTGTCACAGTTCCTTGACAACAGCACACTGACAGGTGAAACGCTGCGACGCACGGTGTTTTGAATTTTGATTCCGATACAACATGTGAATATGATGGTGGCGCAAACATACGATGTCAGCAAGCATTTCATCAAAGTTTTTTTGCACTCAGTCAGTGTCAGACCGTTTCAGGTGCGGTCCAGGATGCTTTGAATTTTGCTCGGCGATGTTGCCTTGAGAGCTGCACAGAACGCTGCCAAAACAGCGCGTGTTGACATAGCATTGCCTGCTAAATCATGAAGCTCCTTAGTGCCACAAACATATGTTCAGATTTTCAGCACATAATAATATACAGTAGTGAGAAGTGGGGTAGACAGTCCACAAATAGATTTGGATTGAACTTGATTTAGGCAAGGTTCCCGCTGGCTGCAAACACTTGTATCCATCTCATCCACTGGGAAACCCATGAGCAGCATTGCTTCTAGTCCAACTAAGTATCTCCCCTTTGAAGTGACCAAGAAGGATCCCTTCGGCCTCAGCAAAGCAGGTTTCCCAATGCAGGTTTTGAGCTGGATAGTTGAACTGTAGGCTTGATAGTTGTTTCCCAATGTAGGCCCAGTGGCGTAATGCACATCAAAGGGGATGACAATGGAGCTGCCGGCATGCAGTGCAAATTTTGACTGGTATTGGCCACAAAGTGCTGTGGGAACTTGCCAGAGGCCGTGAGAAGATCAAGTGCCTGTAGGGTGATTTTTTGGGGTTGGGAAGAATGGAGAAGACAATACTGACAAGTCCCTCCCTCGCTGCTCCTCCATCTCTCTGTAGGTGGAGACCACCTCCGAAGCCGCGCTGTAGTTCTCGGAGAAGGCGTGCCGCGAAGAACGGATGTTGACCTCATCAACTTGGGCAGTAGTGTATTGTTGACCTGCATGACATTGACCTGCCTTGTTGTCCTGGGCCCACTTTTTGTGGCGCTTTATCCACTTGGCATCTTTGTTGACCTTCCTTGGCACACATGTTTTTGAAGTGGGCCAACGACCATTCAAGAAACATCAGACCTTAATCATTTGATTTCTTTTTTGCAGGATGTGGTTCTTCCTCCGATTGATCGCTCGCCTGGCCAGGCGCAATCCACGATCTTCTTGGACAGCTGGATGAGAGTTTGGCAATAGAAGATCATGCCTTAGACTTGGCAGTGTTGGATCATCAGTAGCTGACATTGGAGTTGAGAGTCAATGCTTTTAGTTTCAGTAAGGTTACCAGGAGACTATTGCTTTCATGTGCATAGACCGCAATGTGTTGGCAATGAATGCGGGAAAGTTGACCGCTGCTTCATCTACCAAAGCCTCCTTCTTCACAAGGATGATGTATATACGGCGACGGCTGATTGGTGATCCATATCGCTGCCTGCATCATGGTTTGGCGCAGCGTAGCATAGCTAATTAGTCTTGGCAGTCTCTGTGCAGATAAGTGGCGGGTTCAAGATGACAGAAACAAATCGGTACCTGAGCATCACAGGGTAAAAGGTTTTTGGGTTTATGGACTCATGGTTCATCATTTGGAGAGTCAACATAGCCAAGATGCTCTGCGCCAAAGTTCCGACCGATCAAATCAAGTACTTCTGCAGCTACCCGCATGAAACCCATCACATTCTCCAGGATCCCAATCTAAGCCCACAAACAGCGGTATGCTTTCATTACCGGGTTTGAACCATGGACAACATGTGGTTTCAATTGCCACCAAGTATCAACCGGTTTTTGCTTTTTGAGTAGGCGGAGGGTCTGAAACATTTGCCTTGCATTAGGATCTTCGAGCAGTGAAGTGCCAGTGTGAAGCATAGAGTACGGCGTACAGGGGAAGCCAGCGGAGTACAATGCTACCTCCAGGGACAATTCTTATGAATAAAACTCATGACTGAAACGTACTGAAACTCAATCTGTTTTAATGACCGTGGATGGCCTTGTTCCTCCACTTGCTTCCATTGCGGTCGAAGATGTCCCTGGAAAGCCTGGGGGTGTTTGCTGCCAAATAAAATGCTCATGACAGTGTGTGGGATAACTGGGATAGCCAAGAAGCGCTTCACACTCGTAGTTGGCCTCCAAGAAGTCCCGGGCGGACTGCTTCTTTTCTGATGCAAACCTCGGGGATTGGGTATAATGGAAAGTGGACAAGCCACGGCGCTCAGAGTGAATCAGCCAAGTCGCTTGTACTCGACCAAGTGCTCCTTGCCAGCCTGCTGAAAAAGCATGCGGATAGCTGCGAGTGGTGCATCAGCGCCACTGCCTTGGACAGCAAAGGTCTTAGAACCACCAGCTCAAACAGAAAGGAGTTACACATCCCTGCATGCAAGTTGCAATCACTCCCATAGGGAAAGGTTCCCTTCCACTCTTGAAGCCATGTTTTCACAAAGGGGTAAAAAAGGTCGCCGCAGTGCATGAACTCCAGTTGCTCCTTCGTGAAATTCTCCAGCTCTGCATCCGAAGAATCTGACTCCCATCGCTGGAGCATGATCAAGGTGAGTGAATTAAAGCAAACATGTCATGATATGCCAATATGCCATTATATATTGATTCCTGATTGGGCATGATACATGGATTTGACATGATACCATACCTGAGCCTGCATGGCTCCAATTTGAGCTGGCAGTTCTAAGACCTGGATGGCAAGTGGAAAAGCCTCAGTTGCAAGTGGAATGGCATATATGCTAACGCTGAAAACGGTGCCGGCACGGGTGTGAGCGAGGCAGGACGCGGCTCTTCCAGACCCGGTGTCCAGGTCTTAGGTTGGGGGAGAGCTTCAATGGGATCCTTTTCGGGGTTCGGAAGAATGAACACAGGTGGAAAAAATGAAGCGAACTTGAACACCTCTCAGGCTGAATCAACTTAATTCTTTGGGTCTTTGAATGGATCATGTGTTTCCTTTAAGCCGCCAAGTCATACCAGAACGGGACGATTCAAGAGGAATAAGATGGAACAAGTTTCCAGGAGTTCCAAAGAGGTGTTCGATGTTCTTTTCGACCCATCCAGTGAGTCAGGTGGCGTTTTGGGCACCGCAATGGGCCCGGATCAAGCATTCCCAGTGTTTTTGCCGCTAAGCACATTAGGCGTGAGGTTTTGGGTCTCATGCCTCATTTCTAGAGCTCAAAGATGCAATACTGTAAAATACATTAAAAACAAAATTCTACGCATCAAAGCAACCCACTCACAGGCCCTTTCCCCAATTGGCGGTTTGCCGCGTCACTCTTGGGTCACCGTGCCATGGGCAACCAAATGCTCGGCACTCCGTGCTCATTGAATGATGTGATCACATCACGGCTAGAGGCGACAATCTTCTTGTAGCCGTAGGCCAAACAGCCTGCGGCAGCCCGAACCACCACGGCTGCAATATGGCCCAATCACATGGGTGTGGCCATAACATAGTGGGCTGGATTGGGCTGGGATGCAAGCTATTTTGTAGCACGGCTCGTAACAAACACATGATAAAGGACAAGAACTACGCTGCAAACACTCCCCACACCTAGAGTCATAGAGTTTCACAGTCCCACGATGGACATCACAGAAAAGCATATCGTTTTGTTACAGTATGTCTTGTAACTTTACTTGTTCATATTGGAATACACCGGGATTTATCGCAGCACTGGCAGGGGGGTGGGCAAGAAATCAAGGGCAATAGCGTGATCTGAGTGGGTGAAAATACTCCCGCCAAAATCCACCAAGGGACCAGATGTGGATCATATATAGAATTACTTAATACCAAAAAAGACCTAAGTCAAAGGGAAGCTTGATGAACATCCAAAGGTTCCATGAAGTGGATTAAGCCACAGTCAAAGCGCTCAAAAGGCCAGAAACAAATTAAGCAAGCCCAAGGAATCCCCTCATGCTAACTCTTGATTTATCCCCCTCATTTGGATTGTAAAGCTTCGTCATATGAGGGGTTTTGTTCCACACGACCCAGGAAAACCAATCACTTTTGTCGTCGGAGTGGCCCACACGACGTCCTCCAGGTCGACGCGAGGTCTACCGCGCGCGACCGGAAAGGGCACCTGTGAGGACACCCAAGAGCAAGAAGAAGAGCAATTCCTGTTTGCGGTGCATCGGTCCCGTTGCGAGACTCGTAACAGGCGGGCATCGCTGCTAGTAACAAGGGCATCGCTACTAGTAGCAAAGGGCATTTCGAGTAGTAGCAAGAAGCTAGCACGGATCGGAGACCGACCAAGGTTTCCATCACATCACCACGGTTCTATTAGCAGGTGAAGGGTTCGTCCGGATACAAACTGGTTCGTGCGATGGCAAAGACAGGGGTCAAACAATTTGATGACCTGACTCCAACGGATCTGCGAGCGCATTCAGTGACTGGTATAGCCTTTCCCCTCCTCCAAAGCTGGTTCAGTTGCTTTAACTCAGCGAAATAACAAGACTTCTTTCTTGACTCTTTGACTCTTTTACTGTGCCTTTCGATGTCGAGCCGCCACTTCGATGTCGGGTCGCGCGACGAAGTCGCGCCCGACTTGGCGCCCGAACTTCGCCCCAGTGCTTCCCTTTCGTGTCTGCCGGGCAGCCCCACCACATTGCCGCCGTCCCAGGAGAAGTCGGTGGCTTTGATCGCTGGCCCACCCTTGGGAGCTGTGGGGAAAACAAAAGGGAAGAAATTAGATTTGCATTTAGTTGTCTGGGGCGCACTGACGGATATTTTTAAAAAATGTTTAAAATCAGAGAAGTTAATTGTTTACATTGTTAAGTGCAGGGCAGTTGTACCGTGATATTCATTCATTTAGAATCTATTTGACATAGCACCAATGAGTAAATTAATTACAAGTTATAACATGTCTTCGTCCTTTTGGAAGCTATGGATCCCCCTAGATCCAAATTGAAGTGAGTAACAAATGTCAATCCCCCGATCTTCTCAGCTAAACAGGGCTAAGTACTCCCGATGGATCCACTGCCACCCTCCAAGAGGGTGATCTCCGTGGATCCCTGGAGCGTCCGAATGGAGCGTCCTCCCTCCGGTGAAAAGTTCCCCACGCGGAAAGCTGAACATTTTGGTGCAGGGGGGACTGCTACATACCATACTGGTTGGTTGATTCAGGTATCCTTTCTGATCCGTCTTCACTGCTTTGATTCACGGAACCTCGAACAGTCTGGAACCTGAAAAGCTTGCTGAAGGACTCCCCCGGACTCAGCCGTTGGAGTCCTAGCGCGGCCGTCACAGCCATCTTTCAAGCCCCCGGTCCGTCGCAGCTCCTGGTTTGATCGGCCGCCCATGGGCCGAGACTTCCCCGACATCGGCCCGCCGGCGAGTGTAAGAACTATCACGGGCGATGAGTGTGCAGTCTTTGCAAAGGATCCCGTAACGGCTGCAGTCTTGTGGCTTTGGCCCTTTTTCAGCGTGGGTGTGTCGCCCAAATTTATGTGAAGGGGTGTTCGAAGCAGCTGGCCATGTTAAACATGATTAAGCCGTTTTAAAACAAATTCACAATTAGGATTTCATATATTGATATATATATATATATTTATTGTGTTGTGTTGGAATTATGTTTTGTCCTGAGAAACTCCAGGTATATATATACTCCCTGCATGTTTCCAAAATTGTTTTCACAAACCAAACAAAAGCATCTCTTTCATGTGACTGCGTTTCTTCCCGCACTTTAAAATTCCAAACTCTTCATCGCCACCCTTGGCAAACTCGTTGCACCCTGTGTGGCGCAAAAAACTGGGATCCCTGCTGGAAGAAATGACTGCACTACAGCAGCGCTCACCGCCGCTGCTAGGAGCCTGGCGGTCTCTGATCGAATGGGAAAAGAGGGTGAACCATTGTTGGGCAGGGAAGGCTCCAAGAGAGGTAGCTAGTGACCTGAACTAGGACCCTACTGGCCTACTGGGGTACCAAACTGGGATAGTCGAACTAGGGCCTAGGGTCCCTCAACCTTTGGCTGTTACAGCAAGCCGCTCTCGGATTCGTTGTATCACCGAACCAACGGTCTCGGGTTCGGCGGCGGGGTTCACCCAACGGCGGGTGCAGCCGAACGGCGGTGGGGTTCGGCGTGGTGCAGCCAAACTTGAGGTCTTGGTTCACCGGAATTTGGCTGAGGAAAGGTACACAGCTTCACTCAGCTATGTGGAGAGGTGGTGCTTCACCAACCATCCTGTGGGGTGGGGACGTTTTGTTGAGCATTCCTTCCTGTCCCTCGATGTGCTTTTGCCCTCACTGAATGGATTTACCTCTACTTCCTAATAACAAACTGCCTGGGCCTGTCAGATTTCACCCTCACATGGCACCCTCACATGTCTGAACCATGTCCCAGTGCAATCAGCCCTATATATCCTACCACGTCCAATGCAAGACTCTCTGGTGGCTGCTCGAGAGCAGCTGCTCTTCGTTCCACCGTCCAAAGTACAGTGGATCGAGAGTAGATGGCACAGCACAAATATTTCCAAGTCACAGTGGTAGTGCCGTGCCATCTGTCTAGACCCCTGTCTAGGACAAACCCAGGGGGAAACGGTGCCAACTACTCACACTGGAACCAACATGGAAGTGGATGGTCTGGCCCTGACAGGAAGAACCCCTGAAATATCCTGAAATCCAGAAACAGGTGGTGGTTACTTCCACCATGAGAGTTTCGAGAGTACTCGGTGCCGCTAATGATTAAAAAAAAAGTAACGAACGAACCGTCCAACACGGCAACCCACCCGCCTGGTGGTGAGGTCCAAGGAGTTGTCGTCTCCAGGTCTCACCACCTCCGGTCGAGGGCGGGCGGCCAACCGATGGGTCTCACTAGAACCGGGCGTGTTGCACCGGCCGGGCATGGGAAGTATTCATATATACTGCGCGTTTCTTCAGTATTCCATTCTATACCAAGTATTGTAGGTATATATATAAATATAGTCAAGCTGATTTGCTGGGTGGTTGGAAAATGTTGGAAACATATCACACTCTAAGAAGTCTGTTGATGTCTAGAGTCTAGAAGTGAGAATTATGCCTACCATCACCCCTTCTTTGAGTCGGGCAAAACATGACCACACCCAGTAGATACTTCTTAATACTTCTTATCCACCAGACGAAGCTTGTATATAATATACAGGCACTTTATTCCAGGAAAAAAAACACAACACCACACAAACACATATAAACACAATACAGTATCATGTTCATGTCCCAAAAAAACACCCAACCAAACAATACCAAACATCCAAAGCAGCAGCATGCCGGAACCGCTTCCAACCCATTCCATTCCATTCACGTCCTCCCTCGTCTCCACGGTCCGCGCACCGCCGGTCAGACCGCCTCGGAGGCGAAGAAAATCCCGGCGATGGGCGCGTTGAAGCCGGCGGCCACGCCGGCCGCGGCGCCCGAGGCCAGCAAGGCGTCCGGGTTTTGGTTGATCCTGGCGACGACGAGCTCGGGCCCGGGTGGAGGACGTGGATGTGGGGCTGGAGGTGGGGGATGGATGGAAGGAGGTGGTGAGGTGAAGTTAGGGATGAGATGGGAGGATGCGAAGAGATGAGAGAAGGGATGAGAACTACTAGTACTTGTAGAATTGGATACAGGCGGTGTGGTCCAGTGTACCCCAAGCGCGACTCCCATGGTGATCCGAAATGATGCTTGGCTGACGGCTGGCCGAAAGCTGCAAAAGTGGTGATGGTTCGTGTGGAGCCAAGCCCCAGATGGTTTGGGCTGCAAACATGTAGATGAGCCAAGAACAAATACATACAGTATATACTAACCAGAAAGACAGTATGTTGGTATCGAAGCCATGCCAAGCCATTTATATAGTATAAATGTTCCATGCTTTTCTGGATGTTGTGAGGATTTCCTCTCGGACGGACCTCTCAAAGAGTTGGCGTATATTCTGATATCATCTGATCACCCTGAGCTGGAGTAAACACAAACATCAAATGTTCTGATCACCGCTATCGCTCGCACTTTCAAGCTTCAGGGGTAAATTCATGCAAATTGGTTAGGAGTCGGAGCAATGAACACAGGAGAACCAAGTCATTTTGGGGCCCCAATGTCTGTGTCCATCATTCCTAAAACCAATCCTCTCATTCCCTTGAACCCAGGCAGAAGAAAACCTTGGTGTAGCTCGGCCAGGAGTGTTTTTAGACTCAGGGTCCGTCCCAGTCAGTCAAGATACCACTTCAGATGTTTTCCTAATTACATTGTGTCATTAATGTTCATTACAGTACCGTTCCAAATCCCAAAAACATCAAACAAACAAATCCTTAGCAAAAAGTCATATATAACTCCCTTATGACTTAGGAGCCAAGACTTGAGTGAAACAGCACCACTTCCCGTTGGTGCACTTGATGCATCCAGCGGCACTGTTCAGCTGTTTTCTTCTCCAGCCGTTGAAGTAACATGACTCCCCGCGCTCAGCAATTGCACCACTTGCCTGTAATCATTCGTAATTGCCCAATCCAAGGCCGTTCTGCCCTCTGCGTCCGCAACCGCTTGGTCAGCCTGCGACTGCAGCAGCAAACGCACCACTTCCAAGTGATCCATACAAGCTGCTTGATGCAAAGCTGTTCGGCCAAGACGGCACGTAGCATTGTGATCAGCCCGACACTCCAACAGCAATTGCACCACGTCTAGGTGTCCAGTCCAAGCTGCTCCATGCAATGCATTTCTGCCATTGACATCTTTGGCATCTTTGTCAGCCTGAACCTCGAGCAGCAACTGCACCACGTCGAATTCACCCTCAAAGGCTGCTCGATGCAAGGCTGTTTTCCCGTCGGCGTCTGCAGCATCTTTGTCCGCACCACTCTCCAACAACAATCGCAGCAGTTCGAGATCAACGTTCGCAGCTGCCCAATGCAAGGCTGTTGACCCATCCTTCTGCTTCGCATCCTTGTCAGCCCGAGACTCCAGCAGCAATCGCACCACCTCCTGGTGCTCATTCAGTGCTGCAAGATGCAAGGCCGTTTGGCCATCTTCCCATTCGGTCACGTCTTGGTCGGCCCGAGCCTCCAAAAGCAAGCGCACCACTTCCAAGCTGCCGCTCTCTGCTGCGATGTGCAAAACTGTTAATCGGTCCTCGTCGGCTTCTCCAGTGTTTGGATCCGATGGGAGTCCAAGAATCCTTTCAACCTCCAAATCATGATTTTGGCCGCATGCATCGCGGAATGCTTGGTCTTGGACCGCATCTGGGATCTCAAAATTCAAGATGACCAACTGCAAAGTCAAGGGCGGAATCAAGCGAGCATCATCAGGTAGATCGACACCATCCTGCAAGAGTCTCTGCCGAAACCTGGAGTAGCAATGCTGATCTGCGAGCCATTCCTTGAGGGTCTTCACCTGGCAAAATTTCACTGGCTTTTAAACAAGAGCTTCTACTCAGGAACTTTGGAGAAAGACCAACCTTTTAAGAAAAGGACAGGGCCCCAAAATCGGTCAAAAAGCAATGCCCACATCCAACACCAAGATGTACACCAGTGAATTCTATCATCCCAAAAAACAATACAACATGAGCAGTTTTGTGAGCGTGGCTGTGGGAGCCGTTTGAATTGGAGCACTGGAAAACAAGCTTGGAAAACTCTGTGGGGAATACCGGACGTGTTGGAACAATCGAAATCGAACGGGTCTGTTGTGAGCTAGCGAACCTGATTAACTGATGGCTGAGATGCCTATAACAACACAAAAGCACCAAAGGATTTGGCTGATTGTGAGCCTGAGAACATTTTGGGAGTGAGTCACACAGTGACCCGCTCAGCTACAGGCTCCCTCCCGATACATTATATGGCAAATCACTATATCCGATGGAGAGAACTTGTTTGGAGACAGGTGTTCGTGCAACTTCAGTGACGTCGACATCTTCTCAAAACATCTCAAAACACTATGTCCTACTTGCACTTGCACCAAGGAGGTTTGTCCCCAGTGTGACATGGTGGAGCACCGACGGAGGTCGACCTGCATCCAACTGGGAAATTCCAACAGTCTTCTACATCTAAATCCCAAACACTCCATGGGACTGGTATATATTATGCCAATCAGTTGGGGTGGTGCCAGGGAGATCAATGTAGGCATATACCATATACATGGAGATCATGGAGTGACTGGCAATGAAACCATCTGGCAGGTCGCAGGCTTGTCGCTTTCCACGATTGGTCGCAGGCTTGTCTCTTCAAGTTCGGCCACTCTGTTGCCAGAGATGCTCACTATCTGCAGCATGTCCCCATCTAGTGATGCTCCACTCTGCTTGGGGGGAAATCTGAAGATCCTCTGTCGCTTTGGTGGGTGATCCCTCTTGGGAGGTGCATTTCCACTGAGGAAACTCAGATTGGAACATCCGATTCTGAAGCCAAGTGAGCCAGTGCGGCTCATCCGGCACACGCAGGAGTTCGCGACAAGGGTCTTCCCTCCGAGTCCGTGACCTCCCCACTCTTCCCAAAGCTGAAGCACAAACCCACCACAAAATGTGCAACAAAAACTCTCCCCGGTGTTCAACTCCCTAGGGCTCCTGGCCCATATCCTCGGGTTCGGTGGGGACCCCCTGGCACCCACCATAACCATCTTCGAAACGGAGGTAGTTGAAGCCCTACAGTAGGGATGGTACAATCAACATCGTCAAATGCCCAGATTGTAGGCACCAAACAAAAGAAACATTCTCCACATCCACATCTCACCTTACCCTCCTATACAAACAAAATCAGATAGATCCCCTCTACAGCATCAAATCCACTTCGCGACTGAATCTCAAGTATTTACACTCACTGCCTGTCACTGCTTTCAGTTATAAAGGGCCTCCAGGCTTTATGCTAATTCAGTCTGTGGAACCGCTTTTTTGGTCTTCGAAATGCCCCAAACACGGCACAGAACACCTTTTGGACGAACCAAACAGAACGTCTGTCCTGGCCATGGAGCCCTCCGAGCGGCCACCGCAGGCCTGCATGGCGCAATGAGGCTGACTTGGCGCGATGTGTTCGCGGTAGAAACGAGGCTGCCGACCACGTGAGACGTTGAGTCGAGTTGAGAAGAGTTAGAGAATGGAGTGGAGGGTTGTAGAGGAAAATGGTCGAAACCCACGGGTTTTTCTTCTCATTCTCAGGGTCAATGGGATCGTCTGCAGAAAAGGTCCTTCTTCGCCTTTTCAGGATTCCAACATGTGCACTTTATAAGACATGAAAAAAACCAAGAACATGCGAAGAACTTCAGCGAACTTGGACACGTTCCCAGCCGCCCAGTTCGCGCATTGTTACTAGTAGCAGCCTTTTGCCGTTCGTAGTATAAGACCAGGAAGCCCCGGCCCGGGGCGCGTCCTTGCTCCTATAGTAGCGATGCCCGGAGCGCCGAAACCGGTACCGACCACGACGGCCTCAAAGGACCGCCGGTCCACGCTCCACAGGACTGCATCGGTGCGCGCCTGGAGTCGACAGCATGCTGCATGGGCGTTTTGTAAGATGTATTCAACCGATTTAAAAAGACTATACTAGGGTGAGATGACTTAGGCCAATTGGGTCGAAATGACATACAACTTTCCCAGGGCAAGTCCTAAGTCATGTACAAATGTTATACAGGGCAATTTCATTGGCACACACTCATGACATAGGCCTTGTTGACCTGGTCCTGAGATTTTTTTGAGGGGGGGTTGGTGGGGGGCATGCTCCTGGAATACTAGAGCTAATGAAAGTCCACATGTCATAGGAACATCTTTTGCTTTAAGTCTGCCTTTGTGCGTTTTTGCTCTCAAATTCCTATCTCTCGATGGTTTATTCATTGTTTAGATACCAAAGTCGTATGTCATGATGCTTGCCAATATAAAATCAACTGTTTTTAGGATCTTTGGTGACAACCTCTGGCATCTCTGATTTTGATGTTTTTCCAAGCTTTTGCTTCATGACATAAATACTTGTGGGGGGTAGGCTAAACCTTCATGACTTAGCCGCCGTAATTTGGAGGTAGTTTTCACAAGTCCTTTGTCATTTCAGCCTAGTATATACAACTCTCCCTCTTCGAAAAAACAAAAACACATGAAAACAACTACCACCACCGGCTCCCATTCCCATTCCCGAACCTCAGGCTCTTGGGAACCACCGGATACCTCAACTCATCCGGCTCCCTGCCAGCACCTTCACCGTGGCGGCGCGGGGCGCGCGGAAAAGCACGGCCAGCTCGCCGACCACCTGACCGCTCTCCGTGTAGGCGAAGACCTGCAGTCGTCCGAACACGGTGAACATAAGGAACATGGGGGAGATGGGTGGGCGAGTGGGTCTGAAACATATCAGGAAAGGAGGGAGAGTCATGGAATGTTGATCGTCTGGGCGCCTGAGGCAGCTTAGGTATGATTCCAAAGTGGACATTACTTAATAGACACGCAAATATGATCAAATATCTCGTATCTCATCATGATTTCCATGATTCCCATATGACTGCCAAGAAAATAAGCTACTAAGGTGCCCAACCTTCTTCTCACTGTTGCCTTCCGGCACATAGACATCGAGCTGCCCGCTCTTCCTAGGCACCAGGCTTCGCTCGAGCGGCGTCACCGGGCTTTCCCCGGCGACATCCCGGCAACCACTGTGGATGGGATCCATGGTTTACCACCTAGGATCGTTCCTACTTCGTCAACATGCTTGCTACATCGTCATCTGGGATCGAGGTTCTCTCCATGTACAGCGGGCGAGTCAGGCGATGTTCAGGCGATTCGTGTTTTGAGACCATGGTGATGTTAAGGTCACGACGGGGAAAGGCCAGATGTTCAAAGCAATGATATTATATTGATATGGTTTCACTATGTTTCACTCACCAAAACAATTCTGAAAAAAAACACATCAACCCAAACTAAGTTCACATCAACCCAAATGAGGCCTCCGCTATGTCGAAGCATCAATTGTAGATCTGGAAAAACGTAGGAACTCCCCTCGATGGACCTGCCACCACACGGTGACCTGTCCAAGCCCTCCCTGCTAGACTGATGTCATAACATGCCATGTGGGCAAACGGACCAGGGTGACCTGAGAATTTCAGAACTCAGACTCCAGTACGGCCCAACTCTTCGAGTACGGTTTTTAAGGGGATCATTCCCCCCACCTCAAACCTCAAACCATGGGGCCATATGGGGCCCCAACTGGGGGGGGGGGGCCCATTGGGGCCCCAACTGGGGCCCTTGGCGATGTCCATCCACCGACCGACTCGACGGACGATCTCCGAACACTGTCGGGGACGGTGGAAGCGAACGGAGTCTGGGTGAGCCGCACGTGACGAAGAGGCCCGGCTCGTCATCGGCCACCTACCAAACGGCTGGATGCATGGATTTTCTTTCCCTAAGCATCTATGGCTGAAGCGAAAGCCATTTCTGCTTCACCTGTTCTGAGTTCATCATGCTACAACGAGCCTGCTCCACAAAACAAATGCAAAACGGCTGCAGAACTGGTGTCAACTCGGATCGTTGTTTGCTCAGTGGAGATCCAAGTTACAACTGGATCTCTGAGCCAAACAACTGGAGTAATCTGTACAACGATGGAAAAGGTAGGCTCAGGCTGCTCCCCAGGCCAGGCCCATCCTTCTTCACCATCCAAACCTACGTACCATATCTCTCCAGCCTGATCGCCGTGTCTCATGAGCGTCTCACCAGCAGAGATCTTCACCTGTCGGCCACGCTCCGCCGACCAAACCGGGTCGACCAGACCGGGGTCCGGTCGATGAGCGAGTCCGGTCGATGAGCGAGTCCGGCCCACTTGAAGGGGAGGAAGACTAAGCATCCGTGGCAGAAGTCCAAGTGTATTCCAGGACCCGGGCGTCAACAAGAAAGGCCCCTTAGAGAGGGAAAGGGGGGGTGGTCCAAGAAATTCACCTCTTGGAAGGAACTGGTTTACGCATGTGTTCATGTTCTTTCATGTGTGTCTTTTTGGGGGGATTTGAGAAGTTCTACCGCCAAAGACCCGCGTTCCGCATCCTCCGCCTCTTTCGGGCTGAGCCTCTCTGTTCCGTGAGCATTCGTCTTCGCCATGCACGTCAATATGCCAGGCGTACGGGATGCTCCATGTGTTCTTAATGGAAGTGGACGGAACATCGCTCCAGACAACCGTGAAATTGGCTCGAGCCTGTCCCTGACACGGTGGAAACCTCACTCCAGCTCTGACTCACATGACGGAACACCACGGAGTGGTGTAAACAGCCCCACCTCTTCGAAGAAGTTCAGCAAGCGGTCCAAATCCTGGGGCCGCGCTCGGCCGCACTCACCCGTCACCCGTTCAGCACGTCCCCGGTCGCGCCACGGAGTCCGGTCGATCGGGACACATGAGTCACATGTATTGACATCATTGTTGGACTTCATGGATGCTTCATGTCCAATGAAAGTGTTAAGCCCATATAAGCCCCTCTTCTGGGAGTTTCAAAGCATGAAAAAACACATGAAACAGAAAAAACACAAACAACATCAGACATCAACATACTTTCTCCTTTCCTTCCCCCTGTCTCTCTCCGCTGGATCCGAACCTCTCTAACTTACTCTCTCCCCCCCGGGTCCGTCCCCCTGCGCGCCTTCCCGGGGAGGCTGGCGACCACCTTGGATCCACCGAGCGCCCTCTCGATCAGCTCGCAATCCTCGGGCGGTGCCGACCACACGGGTGCCGTACCGAATGCGGTGCAGCGTGCTGCCGTGGCCGGTGCGTTTTGTGGGTGTCAAACAGACCAAAGGATGGTGGATGAGGATGGATGGAGGTGGTGATGAACTGGACTACTCCAAGTGTGTGTTTTTTGTGTGCTGACTTTTTGTGAGCAGAACACGAACGTGCTGCAGCATGATGTTGATTTGTCATACAGTTTATATGTACATAATATCCTGGAGAAGTCCGCTCGGAATACACATGAAGGCCATCCAAAATATTCCAAGACCAGTTCGTAGAACACGAACACCACACGAAACAAAACACAATCCGCAGACTTTCCCGCTGCTCAATGGCTTTCATTCGTTCAAAAAAACAAGTATCCTGGAACTGCCGACATTTACACCGGTGGAGCACTAAAACTGATTGTGTCACATGGTTCTAACATGTTCTAACAGGAAGCACCATAACATCCCAGCACTCCTCCTGGGGAGGCGCTGTGCCACTGGGCTGTGCCTGGCTGAGGCTCAACACTGCAACCATTGGAACTCTGGATCTAATGCACACTCTGGATTCTATTTCAACTCCCCAGGCCTTTTTCAACTCCCCAGGCCTTTATTTCAAATTTCAACTCCCCAGGCCTTTTTCAACTCCCCAGGCCTTTATTTCAAATTTTAACTCCCCAGGCCTTTATTTCAAATTTCAACTCCCCAGGCCTTTATTTCAACTCCCCAGGCCTTTTTTTCAACTCCCCAGGCCTTTTTCAACTCCCCAGGCCTTTATTTCAACTCCCCAGGCCTTTTTGTTAACTTTATTTCCACTCCCCAGGCCTTTTCAAATGTTTGACCATCCATGTTTGCAGTTAAATATTTTGTTTAAATCGATCTATATATACATGATGGAGTAGGTGATCCACAGAACTGGTCGTTCACTATCACTTGAAGCACTTGGCTACATGTGATTGGAGTTGCTTCAGGAACTTCAGGTGATGCTGAGTGCTTTCCCGCGGGAAAGGCATGAATGCTTGGGCCTGGCGCCACCTCCTGCCCATTTAGATCCATCCAAGCCGAGTATTTCTTCCACATGATGAATATATTGAACAGCCTAGCACTTCCAATGGGCGCTCAATGGAGGCCTGTAAGTAGGGTAGGGTAGTCATTTGGACACCCATTGGATGACCGTATGAACATATTGAATGTTAAACATCCCCCTAAATACCACCAGAACCACCAGGTTCTGGTGGGCATGGTGAGGGGCACCACTTTTACAGTCAAACTCTGACTCTCGTGGACATCAACTGATCCACGGCGGCGCTCACACATGTGGCCTGGGACTGCTCTGGTTGATCAACGACCGAGCGACCGAGCCGCAGTCTGAGGATGTCCCAGCTGTTCAGCGTGTGGCCCGTTTGGGCCCGTTGTGGCCATGTCAGGACAGGACGACCCTTGGCCTTCAATCATTTAAGGGAAACCGTCGTCGTGTGGGCGAGTACACAACCTGCTGGTGCCATGCTACATCATGCTACTATGCTGCCTACATCTTCATGGCTACCAGGATGCATCAGGATGTATGGAACACACCAGAATCACTGGACCTTCCTGCCCAAACTCTCCAGCTCGGCCAGTCTGCGGCGACCGAGCTCGGCGCCTCTTCCAGAGTGGCTTGCGTGCCGACGATGCTGAAGACCTGCCGACCGATGCCCACGAAGCCGTCCGTTGGGATGAACCAGGACGTGGCACCAAAGGACGTGGTTCATGGCCTGTTCTATACCCTTGTGGCATAGGTTTGGTTTGGAGAAGCTGGAGTACAGCTGAAAGCCAATTCGGATCAGTTCCAGTGATGACGGTGACGATGTTCAAGAACGGAGGGGAAAGAACAACTCAATAGAACATGCTGGAATGATAGATGTAGCCCGGCTTAGCGCACCGCCAAATGAGCAACGGAAATCGATGGACATCGCAAAGGCCGAGGTCCTTCAAACCTTCCCAGGCTGGTTTTTCAATTGGCAGGGAAAGCCTTCCATAGGGTGTGTCAACTGTCAACATCCCCCGTACCGTCGGCAGTTCTGAGGAGGTCGCTTTATGATGTCAACGGCGTTGTGTTATGTGCTCCTGCACTTTTGCCGTTTTTGGACCTTCTGACAACGCTGTTTTATGTGACCACACAGCAGTCATGAAGTCCTGTTGACTGTGGGGTTTGGTGGGGGCGGTTGGATCATCTGTGTCGATCTTCGTTTCATGAACTTCCTCTTGATCTTTCATGCACTTAATCTTGCTCTTCGTTTCATGCACTTCATCTTCATCCTCGCTTCATGGGATTCATCTTCATCTTCATAATACTCGTTTCCTGAATGTGTACATTTCGCACGGACAAAAATAACACATGCAGGATTCTGATGTTTGTTTCTTGAACTTCATCTTCACACACTTCATCATCATGCCCGTTTCATGCTCTCATCTTCATCTTCACGCCATGAATCACGAAGATGGTTCAATTTGCTGCGTCAAACATGTAGATCATAGGCTTTAAAACAATGATCTGCGTGACACATGTGTTGATTTCTGCAGTTCTTTAAAACTGGTATGCCATTGTGAATTGTGACGATTAAAACAAACAAAAACAAGCCAAACTATGGAACAAACAAAATAAACAATACATAAAACCTATGGACTCTCTATGGACTCTCTATGGACTCTCTTAGTAGAAATGACCCTTCCAAAACCATCCGCATGTCCCCCACGAGTTTCGCACAGGTTCATGAATCAAGGCCTAATGCAACGGTGTTAACGCGGTTGACACCTGCCTTTCACCGCTCTGCACGCTCCTTTTCATCCAATAGGCCATGCATTGGCCATGCATCCCTTCTCCCTCTTGAGCAACAATCTGTTGGGTATCTCTGGCCATTCTCAAACTTATTCTACTGAGCCACATCTCTGTCTGTGGCACATCTCTGTTCAACAGGGAGGATTGAGATGTTTGCGGATCAATTGCGGCCCACACGGGTGTCCACCATGCAATAGCCCACTTCCTCTACCAGTCGCTCCATGGGGATAGCCTCCGAAAAGAAAACGGATTGGGCGCAGGGTGAGGGCTGTCGCTCAGGCTGAGGGCTCGCGTGAAATGCGACCCCTCCAGAAGTTCCAAGTATTTTCTAGATCTACCAGTAGTTTCAATTGTTCGATGGCACTGGTACCTAAAAATGACTTAAACAAATGGGTGTCCATATATTAATATGCCATGAAACTTGGGTTGTGCCATCTACTCTCAATCCAGCCACTATAAAAGATTCCACTTGACCCTCCCAGTTCGGTGCCCCAAATGCCCAGAAAACCACCTGTTCAGGTTCTAAAAACAACCCCTTTCTGGAAGGTCCTGGTAATACCATCAGAAAGAACTTTCCACTGGCCATGGTCTTCAAAAACAAGCAGGATCAAAACTGGCTGACGCATCCTCGTCCGTCGGTTCCGAGTGCTCTGTTCACGTTGGTTCAGTTTTGAAAAGGAACTGCTCACTTGACCAGTTATCTATAGTCTATAGTTATCAAATTGTCTTCTGGCCCTTCCCTTCTCATCACACTTCAAAAAGGTGCGTTTCAGACATCCAAAACCTGCCCTCTTTAGCAAACATTTCATCGCTCCTTCCTAATGAAAGACACACACATTAAAGCAGAACAACAACATAAACACACGTTATAGGATCTTCTGTAAGTCGACTGGGTATCCCCTCAGATTTCTAAGTCTGAGGGGATACCCATCTTCGTACTACGTACTACACATACTACCTACTTGCACTCGTCCCCAGTTCCAGTCTTCGCCTCCATTCGCTTCCCCTCCTGCCTCGGTGGAGTGGTTCGGCGTGAGCCGGTCCTGCCTGAGGCCGAGCGGAGGACGGACGGGCCGCCCCGGCTAAAGGGCCCGGTGCGGCACCCCGTCTTCTCTTCGGAGCATGGCCCGGTTAAGTGAAGTGATGGGTGTGGCCGGTGGGTTTGTCCCCCACAAAACACACCAATGAGTCAATGAGAAGGAAAAGAACATATACGAACATATTAAGAACCTGCTGTCTGGAGATGTCATAATGATAGCGGAAACGACCGACAGTTACTACCAGTACCAAGCATGTTGCCGTCATGATCTTTGCTGAAATATGATCACGTGTCTGAATGAAATGGGAACATTCTTTTTGAGACCCGCCCCAACCATTTTGGCAACAGTAATGGTATTTGTCACTTGGGCACAAGCTTCCCGCAACCCACAAGTTAATTTCCGTGTGGAAGCAATTTATGGACAAAAGGAACGTTGATGGTGCCATTTGTCGTGGGTTCTTGCAGGCGATAGATGTGACGTCGCCCGTCAAGGTCTCCGAGGATCAACGGACCAAATGATCTGAATATATCTGAAATGATACCATGCCTAAGTTGGTGTGTATAGGCAACAAGAGGTCAAGGCGTATGAACTTGGCTCTTTCGCGAATAGTGTAGTTCATTGATGGTTGATGCATGTTGATGCACTCAGTGCGATTGCACTTCTGATCCACCATTGACCCCTTGCCTCGACAGCCACATGACTTCTTACAAATAAACATCAAAGTTGTGTAAATTGGATGTGGGTTATCCAAACATCTGTCGCTGTGGAACATCAACACATATATCAACATACTTGTTGAAGACATACTCATCCCTGATCCTCGTAGCCAAACAGGGCGACTTAAACCCCTGCGGATACATGACAATGATCGACATACCCTGTGAGAAATTGATGTGTTCGACACCTTGTTTGGGGCTTGGACTTGGAGGGTCCATATCTTTTTGAGAAGGTGGATGCATGCATCATGGATCCATGATGATCCATGAACCATGGATCCCCCAAAAAGGGACTACAGTATATACCCTAGGGATCCAAGTACTTTCTGAGAAGGTGATTGGAGACTGTTTATTATGTAGGCTTGGAGGGCCCAAGTACTTTCTGAGAAGGTATGTGGATCCCTATAGGGATAAAATGTATAAATAGATGGCTCCAGAATTCCAACCTTCACACCCAACACACCCGAGCACAAACCTGCCGAACGAATGGACGGAGGGTACGTCATGGGTACGTCCCGATGGTGCCGCATGGACGGTGCCCTCTCCGAGTGGCCACAAGAAGAAGGGCAGCAGGAACTGATCTCGCTGGATATCTTGGCACTTCAAGTAGGTCTTTTCAAAGGCATCCTGAGAACTGCGAGATCGATCTGAGAACTGAAGAAGGCTTGGATCTGGGACCCTCATATGATCTCACGTTATACGTATCTGAGTGAATCTGAATGGTGGTGTTTCTGTGCAGTTAAAGTTCTCTTGACCTCTATGTTGGTCTTGAAATGCAGTCATGCTAGAAGATTCCTGCGAGAGACGTTGTGTGGTGTGTCTGTGTGTGTTTCTCCTCTTTTTGCTATTTCAGAGGCAAAACTACGGTGTTGAGACGATTGCAAAGGATGTGAATATCCAAGAACTAAGATGCAGCAAAACCAGCCATGCGAATCTTCACCTTGTGATGACTTGTCATGACTTGTCCAAAGCGCTGCAACTTCCCCCCAAAAGAATCATGTACAGTGGATTGAGAGTAGATGGCACACTCACCAAAAGGTACTTTATATGGACCCCCATCTAAAAGACATGCAGGCGTTTGTGCCATCGAACCTCTGAAACCACTTACCAGTGGACTTCACCACCTTATGGTCTTCCGAAACATGCTCCTCCATCCATGTTGGCCCGTGATGATCGTCGGGTCGATCGTCACACATCCACCGGTGCAACCTTCTAGCTAACCCAGATTCTCCATGTGTGCACCCTAGGGATCCAGTCGTACCGAACCTCAAAAGGTACGACTGGACCCTCCAAACACACCCCAGTCCCACCTTCTCAGAGGGTACTTGGATCCTTAGGGGCATATATTGAGGATGGAGGCGAGCTCCATGAGCTCGAGCTCTGAAAGCACCCCATCATGATGCTCCTGAAACCATCCCATTGACACCTGAATATGCTCCAAACATTGGGGTGGTTGAAGTCGGGGTCAATGGGGTACGTATATAATATATATATATATATATATGTATATATGGCAGTCCCATGGAGTGTTTGGGATAGGTGGTGGTGATGCCACTCGAGTATCCAAGTGTTCTTCGCACAAGAGAAGGAGTATGGAGGAGAAGGGCGGAACAGCATAGTTAACATATAGGTGACCTGTGGTGACCTGTATATAGTGAGACGTCATTGAATTGCTTAGAGACACAGTGAGACCATCACACCATTACACATTCCAGTGCAGTGGATTGCTGAAAGCAAGCAAGTCAATCACCAATTCATATATTAGTTGGCCGCTCCATATCCCCTGGCCCTCGCCGGCCCTGGCCACCCTGGAGGTTCATCCTTGCCACCCCGAATTTATTGGCGTGACTTTCTCCAAGCAACACGGACCTTCCCCGCTTGCTTGTGCTTCAAATTCCGGAAGATCACCTTGTTTCAGCGAGACGACGACCACCGAGGCGGACCCGACCACGTCTCGCCCAAATCCGTCGCGGCACTTTTCGCGGCACCGGAGGTGGTGGAACTGAAGCCAGTCGGAAGGTGGACCGTTCAACTACCAGCAGCAGTTGCCCAAATCGACTAAGAACAGGAGTCGTGAACCTTGTGACCATAGTACCATAGGTGACCT